GCCTGGAAGGGTCCCTTGGGCACAGCCCTGGTTGTGTCTCCCTAAAACTGCCCCTCAGCAGCAAGCATGGACCTCACTCCTACATCTCCTCCTCCCAAATTCCCACTGGCTCTTCTTCCCTTCAAGGAAAACCCTGCCATCACTCAAGCTACATTGCACTATAGTTGTGGCTTGAAGTAACCTGCCTTCTTCCCCCATTCTCAGTGGTGTGAAGATGAATTCATGTTCCAATAGCCTGCAAATTATCCAGTAGCAGAAGGACATATTTGTCTTTCCCTTCTGTGGCAGCAGATGCTGACAGAGATGATGGCAGAATGATGGCCTAGGAAACAGAGCCTTTCTTGAGCCACAGGAGAAACACTAGAGGCTTTCCCTCCAGTTGCCTTTATTACCCTTCTCCTGGAGGAGATGGGAACCAATCACCAGGAGAGCTCAATGAGCTAAAAGCTACCTGCTTCAGTGCCCAGAAGAGAGAATTCATCTCTTCCCTATTCCCTCTCAGGAAAACAGGGTCATCCACAAAAGAATTTGCTAGAACAGTCCTTGTGCTTCTGGTCTGACCTGGAACTTGCTGAAGCACAGGCAAGGGCTTGGGGATGGCCTGAGCTCCCAGCTCTGGTGCATGTTAGGATGCTCTCTGGCAGGAAATGGAGGGGATGCTGTGGCTGGTGAAGGATGTCTCTGCCCTTTTTTCTTGGCATGATGCTTTCAGGAAGACTACTAGTGTTAGGAATACAGTTTATGCTGGCAAGAGATCCTCTGGTCAACCAGGCAGTTTGAAGTCAGATGCCTGTCATTCAGCCCAAGAGCAAAGGTGTCATTCCTATCCAGCCATTGCTGGCATCTCTCTGCTCTTGGTTCCCGCTTCACTGCACTTATCAGCAGTCTCTAAAGGACAAAGTCTAGTGTTTGTTAGAGGTTTCAGAGAGGTTTATGTGACATGGACCTTCTGTAGACCTCCTGCCCTGGGCAAAGCACCCAATACACTCTGGTCTGTGTTGGTGAAATGTTAGATTTATAGGCCAAATAGCCATGCCAAAAGGTAATGTGCTTCTGTCTCCCTGTCAACCCTTTAGCTGCCTTTGCAGGGACAGCAAAAGGCATCTCTGGAAAAATCTATTGCCCTTTCCCCAGCAAGCAGGACCAGGCCATCCTGGTCATCGAGATACACACAGATCCAGAGGAAATTATATAAAATGGGGCTGAGAAAGCCAAATCAAACACCAGTGAGAAATACCTGTGTACGTCTTGCCACAGGAACAGTGGAAGACTCCTGGCATGGAAGGTGTGTCCATTTGGTTATTTGTACAGACTCAGGCTGATTCCCTAAAGATGCCTTGAGGAGTGTGGCACTGGCATCTGCCCTGTGTTCCCCTCTTTATCACCATTTCCCAGTATCCTTTCTGAGTTCATTCAAATTTATCTCCTCTTTTTTTAGATCCTCTCCCTCTTTTGGGCTTTGTAGCAAGGAGAAAGAGCACAGTGATGCCCATCTTGCCCCTGCTGCCTTTGGGCACAGCTAGCATGAAAGCATGAAGTGCAGGTCTTCAGTCCTGGGATCTGAAGAAGTTGAGATGTGCCTCTGCATTTGAGATGATTTCATTTTAAAAATAAATTTATGCACATAACCCTAGAGTAAACTTATAAAAGAATACTTAAATTAAGGCCATTAGTGTAAACTGAAAACTCTGCCTCTTCCCCTTCTAGCAGTTTCCTGTTTTGTCCTCTCTGCTCTTATGATGCTTCTGTGCATATACTTAATGGTAATTAAAGACAATAAACTTCTAAGAGTAGTGACAGATCTTTTTCTAACTTCACTATGTGATCCCTACCAGAAAATTCATTCCATAAATTCAGCTGTGGAGATCAAAACAGCAAGTTGTAAGCACGTGCCCAGCTCCATTTGTTGCAGCGGGTGATTTATTTATATCCTACTTGATCCATTGCTGGAAGCCATTTGTTCCTTGAGCTTGTGTGCAAACTTCAAGTAAGGCTTTGTAGGGTGAGGAAACACAAAACTTGGGTCATTCCTGAAGAGTCAGTGCTGGTAGTAAGCTGTTAGTGAGGTGGCTGAGCAAGGTTTGGGTTTTTCAGCAAATACAGGCAATTGCTCACCCTGACTTGCATGCATGCACACACACATATGGATGTTCCATACTGTGGCAGCTCATTACAGATTCCCACAAGAAAACCATTAGGGAGGAAATTCTTGCTGTTCTGATGTGGTCGCCTTGTTCTTGTAAAAGAAAAGCTGTTGTTTCCATTTTGCCCTGGTTTTGTTTTTTGGGGAGTGGAGAGCATTATAATGAAATAGTGCTGTGAGTGTATGTGTAATATTTTATCCCTGTGCACACAGTCTTCCACAGTGGGTCCAGCGAAAATGGAGCCCCAAAAAATGGAACTTTCCAGATATGTTCATGAACCAACACACCTGCAGAAAAAATACTGTCAGAAGAATTTTTCTCACATCCCTGCTTTTCTTCATTTCTGTCTCAGCCTGCCGCAGTGTTTGCCTGCCCGTCTGCAGAGGGCGATGCAGCATCAGTTTGACCAGACATGGTCCTCTGGCTTTGCCTCATCCCCAAGTTACCCTTGGTCACGAAGACATTGCAGGGGTTGAGGGCTGAGATGGGGCCACAGCTAGAGGGGAAAAGGAAAGGACCAGGCCAGAAACACAGGTGTATTTCACAGCGCAGTCTCTTCATGCCAGCTGTGCAGCAGCTGATGAAATGGGAGACTGCAGTGGATTTCACTTTCCTTTTAAATCCTGCTGCACAGGAAGACTTGAATAATTTGCTGAAACTTTGAAGGCCACTGTAGGGACAGCTGGTTATTTCATGAGTTTGTGCAGGACTCAGAAATGTGAGTTTAAATCAGCTTTAAAAGGCAACAATGAAATCTTGAAGTGAAAAGAACCCCAACAACCATATACTCATCTGGTTTTCAGACTTCAATTTGCATGTTACCATTGCCTTTTTGCAGAAAGGAATAGTAGATGTCCTCTGCCAGTAGAGGCATCTCTCTCTAGTCTCCATGAGAATACCCATGATTTGTGCCCAAAAAAAATCACTTTTTGTCCTAGAGTCACGATGGTTGGAAAAGATCTCAAAATTATCATGCATTCTGTTAACCCAGCATCACTGTGTTCATCACCAAACCATGACCCAGAGTTACACCCACATGCCTTTTGAACATTTCCAGGGATGGTAATTCCAACACTTACCCGGGCAGCCTGTTCCAATGCCTGACTTCCTTTCAGAGAATATTTTTTTTCCTAATATGCAGTCTAAACCACCCATGATACAACTTGAGGCCATTTCCACTCATCCTGTAACTTGTCACCTGTGAGAAGAGACCTCTTCACCTCACTAAAACTCCTTTCAGGTACTTGTAGAAGTGATGGGGTCTTCTGAGCTGCCTTTTCTCCAGGCTAAACAATTCCAGTTCCCACAGCTGCTTCCCATAAGCCTTGTGCCATAAAAAAACCCCACTGCATCCTACAATTCCAGTTCCCACAGCTGCTTCCCATAAGCCTTGTGCCATAAAAAACCCCACTGCATCCTCTTTAATCCAGTTCTTCCTTGAGTTATTGGAATTAATTTGCTGTAAAGGTTTGGGGGTGGGATATTTTGGAGTCACCTCAGGTGTAGGCTGGGGCCAGTGAGCAGCTTGAAAGCTGAATTTCATTGTCATTGAAATTTGCCAGAAAGGTTATTTCCTTGGGCATGTAACGAGGAAAGTGCTCAGAACTGTTTTCTTCCATTGATTCCCAGTTCAGTTTGTGGCAGGGATGGTGATCCTTCCAGCTGAGTGTAATCCTTTGAGGTTAGTTTTTTCCATGATACACCATCAGTTTTTGAAAACAGCTTCTCTTTTTTTTTAAAGCTTTTTGCAATAGAACTGGAGCAGAATGTGAAGCACTTGCTTGAACTTTGCACCTGGATAAATTCAGAGAGCAAAGTCTTGACCTTTTGTTTAATAAGTGTCACCTACATCAATGACTCCTTGAGGTGTTCTGATTCCATCTTAAATTTACAGAAGACAAATAAGTGTTTTGGCTCTACCAGAGGCCTCCAGGTGCAGTGATCTCCAAATGCTTTCCTGCTCTTGGGTGGGATGAGAAAGGGAGGGCTGGGGCCAGAGCTGTGTGGGAAGAACTGGATGCAATGGGTGCTGCTCACTGTTGTGGCTTTGTCCAATATTCAATAAGGAAACCAAAGACCCTCTTGCAGTGCCAGGAATCCACAGACAGTGTTGTGCCTGCCTTAAGCACGGGATAGGCAAATGCATCCGTGTAGCTGTACTGGCAGCAGGAGAGGTCACTCACTCTGCTGAGCCTGGACGAGACTGAGGGGAGACCTCACTGCTGTGACACCTTCCTGCTGAGGGGAAGAGGAGGGGCAGGCACTGATCTCCTCTCTCTGGTGCCCAGTGACAGCACCCAAGAGAATGGCCTGAAGCCGTGTCAGGGCAGGTTTAGGTTGGGCTTCAGAAAAAAGTTCCTCACCCAGAGGGTGTTTGGGCACTGGAACAGCTCCCCAGGGAAGCGGTCACGGCACCAAGGCTGACAGAGTTAAAGAAAAATTTGGACAATGCTCTCGGGCACAGGATGTGACTCTTGTGGTGTCCTGTGCTCAGCTGAGAGTTGGACGCGATGATCCTTGTGGGTCCCTTCCAACTCGACATATTCTGTGGTCTTTAAAAATGTCAAGGAAGCAAATAAGAATATGAATAATTTAAAAATGCAAACCCACTAATGCTGTGGTTTGCTATGGAAGCAGACGGCAGGCTGGGAACCGAGGGCACAAAAGTAGCTGGAGAATGCGGGCATCGATCCCGCTACCTCTCGCATGCTAAGCGAGCGCTCTACCATTTGAGCTAATTCCCCGCGCTGGTGCTCTCGTCACCCAACACAACCATATTGACTTCTCGCGAGACGCCGTGCGCTGCTAGCAGTTGCCCGTCCCGGTCGGGGGTCCCAGTGCGCCTGCGCGGGAGCGCGACGGCCGGGGCTCGGCGGCGGGCCGGGCTGGGCGCGCGCCGGGAGAGGAGGATGCGCCCCGCGGTGAGAGCCGGAGCGGGGACGGGCGGGAGTGGGAACGGGGCGGGAGTGGGAACGAGATGGCAGTGGGAAGGGGAATGGCGGGGGGCTGCGAGGGGCTGTGTGTGTGGCGGGCAGGGTGCGTTGGGCTGTGTGCGAGGGGCGGCGGTGCGTGTGGAGGTCGGAGCCGGGGCTGGGGCGCCCGGCACGGGCTCTGCCAGCGGCCTGGGCTGCGCTCCGAGCCGCGCCGGGGCTGCGCTGGGCTCAAAACAACGGAACAGCCAAACACCCCCCACCCTCTCCCCATAAAATAGCGAGCCCCCAGCCCGCCCCCGGCTGATGAAGGGCCCGGAGCTGCCCCGATGACCCCGCTGGTGCTCGGGGAGGCTTCGCCTGCCCGCGGCTCCTCACGGCCCTCGGGGCGCTGAGCCGCACCAGCCCTGCGGGGCTCGGGCTGGCACTCGGCCCGGGCAGCCCCCGGTGCTGCCGCCATCCCTGCTGGGACATCCGGGCTGGGTCCCGGCACGGCGCTGGGACAGCTGCCGTGCCCAAGAGCCTGGATGAGCGAACCTGCGGCGGGCAGTTGTTCTCCCCGCCTTGCCTTGCAATGTCTCCTTTGAAAACAACACCCACAGAAGTGAAATCTGGCACCGTGGTGAATCGTGAGGTCTTTTTCTCCAAAAAATGGTTCCGTTTGCTCTTGTGCTCCAGCTGGAGTAGAGTTAAAGGCAGCGATTTCCCTGCTGGACAAGGAAGGAGATGCTGGCTCTGGAGCAGGGAACTTCAGGTGCCTGTTGAAATGGCAGATGGGGACATGTGCTGGAGTCTTCTGGGGAGCTGCATTGACCAGATGGGATTTTGGTGCCTGTTTTGGATGCGGGAAAAGGGGATGCCCTCAATCAAGGGCTGCATAGCAAAGCAGGTGAGAGCATTGGGTCATTTCTCTGCGAGCGCTATGCTGAGGAAGACAAAGCTGTTGGTGGGCTTGCAGTGTTTAGTTAAAGCTGTGTTCAGCAGTAGGAATATCCAGGACTCAGTTAAAAACCTGTCATTCTGGTAAATATCTTGCCTATCATTTTTCTTCCCCTCTGATGTTCTTGAGTCAGACAAGACAAAACCCAAAAAGCGTTGATGGCCAGTGCAAAATACTTTCTGAACGAAGGTGATTACAAAATAACCTTGTTGTATAACCTCAGTGGTGGCTGCTTAACACCTAGCTGTGTGGGGAGCAGCAGAGTCCTGGGCTGAGCTGGCCAGGCTGCAGGCAGGGATCCTGGTCACCAAGTCACTGCAATTCACTGAGCCAGCAGGGAGTTTGGTGAAAGTGATGGGACTTGCTGTGGCTTTTGCTCCGTCGAGTTCCTGGGTGCTTACACATTGCTTTCCTGCAGTACTTTTCTACTTCTACCATGGCTGTGTTCAAGCCATCGTTCTGTTGGTTTCAAAACCATTCTCTGCTTAATTTTACACCCTTCCTGATGGATTTGCCTTAGTTCTGCCTGTGAGATACAAGTTTCTTTTTCTGGTTGAATTTGCTGAGCTATCCTCCTCCAGACTATGAATTTCTGATTGAATACTCCTATATACCAACAGCTTTGCAAATTAAATAAGTGCAAAACATTTTTTATTTATTTTACTTGACAGGTTTCAGGCTCTGTGAATGAGGTCTGCTTTTTGCAGAGTTTGGTTAATAGGTTCTCTGAATGATATCTTATTGAAATACTTGGAATTTTAAATTTACTCCTCTTTTGTTCTTTTTGACGTGTTGCATCTTACTTTAAAGGGTCAGTGAAGCATGACCTCAGAGCTCTTCAGAAACTCTCCTGTCTCTCATTTATCGTTTTCATGGTTGTGAGCTTCCTTCTCTGTGGGTTTTTTTTTTTTTTGTCAGAGAGAAGATTGGCCAACAAGCATATTCTGAAAGACATGTTTATCTTTAAGAAAAAACCCAACAGCGACCAAACAAGCAAGCAGCCGCACCCATCCAGCAGTATGATTTCTTATCTTGGAGCTTGACTCATAATTTTGATGGCTCCTTACCCTTATTGGTTTTTTTGAAAAGACAGTAGTTTTTGTAGCTATTCCCCTGGGTGCCACACTGGAGACATTGCACTTATGTAATTTTTTTTCTTATGTCCTCCTGTCTCTTTTATATTGCCCTGAGCTGCAGAGCCCCATAATCTTACCCCAGGCTTCTCTTTTTTTTTTCCTCCTTTTTTTTCTGATCTGGAGTAAACCAGGACATGCTTGAGAGTCTCTCCTGCTGAGGACTCTTACCTGCAATGCACTCAACAGTGTTTCAGCAGCTTGGCTTTGCTAAGTATCAGGCTGACTCTGTGGAGCTGGAAAATGTGTTTCAGGCTGTGTTTTGCATAGATGCTCTCAGATGTGAGGTTCCACCGCCTGGGTGTTATATGTGCTTTTCCTGTCACGGGGCAGTCTGCCTCTGAATCATGTTGCTGGGAGCTCCTGGCAGAGCAAATGCAGGGGCAGGGGGAACTGAGCCTTGTCTTCAGCCTTGCTTCATCAACCCCAGCCACAGCCCTCCCTCATTTGTGCCTTGTTTGGTTTAATAATGGGGTTGTACAGCAGCTTTTCCCACAGCAAAACCTCTTTTCTCCTTTTCTTTAGAATTAAAATCGCTCCAAAGAATGTGTGTTAAGGTGGACTTTGAAACTCAAAGCTTCACAGTCATGCTGGAGTAATTCCTGTGCTTTCCTCACCTTCATTTTAATTACAGGGGAGAATAGTTCAGCTCCCACAGCTCAAGCTGTTGGAAGGATATGTGTATGCTCTGCAAATAAACTTTATGCCTGCTTTTCCCTTTCTGTCTTCCACTTGCTCTGGCAGATCCTGAACAATGCTGGGCAAGTATTGTTCGGGTTTTGGTGGATCTCTGTTTTGTCCTTGTGCTCCATCCACACTGAGATGACAGGAGTTGCCTTGCAGGTGATGGAAATATACCACCTAAGGAAGCCTCCAGCTGCTCTGTGTAAAGAACTGCCCCCAGAGATGCTGAGGTTGCAGAGCTATCAGTGCAGCTTTGTGGAAGGTTGCTTGCTGCATCGCCTTCAGCTCTCGGCAGCCTGGGACATCCCAGTTTGTCCATTTTACTGGGTAGTGCAGGGTTCTTTAAGGGGCTGGTTCATGCCACGCTGCAGATAGCTCACATGGCACTGCAAGAGCTGCTGTGTGGTGAAAGGCAGATTTCCAGAATGTGCAAGATACTCTTGTGTACTGAGGGTAGCAATCTCGGCTGGTTTGCCACCATACACCTCCCCGTTTGAGGTAGCAGTGGGTATTTCTGAAGCAAGTGTTCAGACTGGAGTGCTTGCTCTGATTTTCAGGGTGGGTGGGTGCTCTCTGTAGCTGTGGGTTTGCTTTGACACCCTCAGCTTAAGGCGTTTGTAGAGGGACCGGTGCAGATTGTCCCCTCTAAGTGTCTGCTCGAGTGCCAGCCACGCTTGCCGGCTCCGCATCCCGCCGGCTGCTCCTGCGCGTGCCATCCCCCTCTGCACTGCAGAACAGCTAAACCGGGGATGCAAGAAAGCTGGCGAGAAGCCTGGATGTTCCTAGAAAGATATTGATTGCCCTGGACAGTTCGGGGTTGTTCCTTTTGTTTCCCTGGCTCTCGTCACGGGGTCGGGCTCGTTCGGGCGGCAGCTCGCTGGAGGATGGAGAAACAGTGCCGGCTTTGCGGGCTGAGGCTGGAGCGGAGCCATCCCAGCCCGCCTCTCGCAAGTGTTAAGTCTGAAGCAGCCTGCCTGGTAATTCCATTAATGAGAGCCTAGTGCCAGAGAGATAAATGTAATTCCACGGTAAAGCTAACGCTCGGGCTCAGATGGAGAGGATTTGCTGGTTCTCCCGGGTGCACTGCTGTGAGTAAGGTACTCCAGTATTACCCACAGACCATGTTTAAAGTCTGCATGTCACTGCAAAGACTGGGCAGTGATAAAAAAATCTGCTGCTAAATCTTTATGTGAGGAAATCCTTAGCTCCGGAGTATAGCTGTCTCTTTGCAATGGGTTTTACAGGGAATAAAAGTTTCCTGCTTTTAACTCCTGACATGCAGGATGGCACCATGCTAAGCAGCCAGCTGATCCAGCAGACAGCTTGCATGGGCTATAGCCAGAACAAGCTCTTTGTGTATAATCAATGCAGAACAGAAATTATATACCCTTTGTGTGTCACACCAGAAAGCTTGCAAGCACCTCAGAGCCAGCCACCACAATTTCAAGTAGCACAAACTTCTCTACATTTTTGGCCATGAGGTCCATGTGTGAGTTCAGAGCTTACAGTTCTGGCTAGATCAGTTTGATTTCTTTTTGAAATAATTTTTTTTCTGATTTCTCACTTTTCTTAGTTTGATTTGCAGATGACATCTTCCTGTTTGCAGTTGTATAATACCGTTGTGGCACCATCATCAAGTCTTGCATTGAAAAGGAATGGTTAATTGGGACATTTTTAGCTCTCCTTGTGGCTTGGATCCTGGAAATTGAATGCAGGAGCCAGCACCATTCAGCTTTCTGCAGAGGAGCTTCCCATGCTGCAGGCAGCAGCTGAGCAGTTGTGTCTGACAGGGTGGGAGCTCACAGTGCCAGTGAGCCCCAGTGCTGTGGTACCCCAAAGTTCAAGCAAACAAATCACTTGCCTCATCTTTTGGAGCTCAGTGAAGGATTTTCCTTGTCATCAGTTCAAGGTGGGGGAAAAAAGTTCAATGAAGAAGAAGCACATGCTGGGGATGCTCAGCCCCTTTTATGTCCCCATCACTCAAGCTTTGCCTGAGTGTCCATCAGTACATATCTGATCTCCTTAGTTAGGACTTGGGTCCCTGCTGGTGTCCTGACAGCAGAACTAAAGCCAGCATGTTCAAAATGCTTGTTTTTTGGTGTATTCATTCAGCAGCTTGCTGGTGCCTCTTGCTGCAAGAGGTGTGGGGGAGAGTGGCTTGTTGAGCAAAGTGAGCTGCATGCTTTGCATGCAGCAGCTGGGACAGCCAGCCTGCCTGCAGCCAGCTCCTTCTCTTTGCAGCAGCTGTGCAGACATGGCCGCCTTCTTCATGCACATGCTCTGGGCCAATTCACTCACCAGAAATCAGGATCAAAACAGATTGTCTTGAGTTTTTAAATCCCCTGCCTCCCCTAGCCTTCAGGTTTGTTCTTTAATCAGTGAGGGTCATGCATGTGAGAGCTGCATCTGCCACTTGTCACCGTGGTGGCAGGATGTTGGGGGGATACAGTATCAGTCAGAGCTACTGCAGTTGCTCTTAAAAAAACTCCTCCTGTTTGCATCATAGCTGAAGTTCTAGCTTAGTAGTGTGGTTTTCTCACCCCAAGTTAAATTTGAGTGTTTCCTTTGCTTCTTTTAAAGCTCTGACATCTGATTTGGGCTTGAGTGGAGCAAGGTAGCACTGATAGTGAGTTATGTGCTTGTCAAACATTTCAATACAGAGCAGATGAAGGAGCAGATAAGAAAATGACCTGCATATTTAGAAATTCAGTTTCTTGAAAAACTGTGGTGCCTTGTTCTTACAGTATCTCTTCTCCCTCCGCCCTCAGTTCCATGAGTCAAAAGTGTTCATGAGAGTGTTAATACATGATTGGGGGGATTTATCAGGAAAGATGTAATGTGTTTGTTCCTCTGGTGGTAACAAAGTGGGTCAGAAGTGTTACCTGTTCTGTTGCTGCTGCTTATGATGCTAACCAGATAAAGTTACTGAAATCAGTTCAAAGCCTCGCTATTTGCTTTGCTCCTTGACTTGCTGTATGAGTTTCACTGTGACACCTTGTATCTGACCTGCAAGACATTAATTTGTTTGGTGGCTCTTGTGGCCTAGGTGCACGGTTGAGCCACCCTGGTGCTGCCAGTCTAAGTGGCCTGGCACTGGATTTTTTCTTTACCAACATATTTTTGAGCCACATC